TTTCTTTCTTTCCTTCTTTCCTTCTTTCTCTCTTTCTTTCTTTCTCCATCATGACACTTGAACACAGGACCTGGGCACTGTCCTTGAGCTTTTTTGCCTGGGCCAGCTTAGAACTGTGAGTCTCACATCTTAGCCTCTTGAGTAGAAAATTTAGTTCTCTCTTTTTAGTTCTCTCTCTCTCTCTCGTGTGTGAGAGTATGGGGTTTGAACTCAGGACCTCACACTTGCTAGGTAGGTGCTCTACAACTTAAGCCACACCTCAAACCCTATTGTTTAGTTTTAAATAGATCTTTTACAGACAAACTAACATAAGAGACTATGCCAACATATGTGAACAAAACATATTTTTCTTTTAAAAAAGAGGGTTTTAAAAAAATTTACAAATAATACACGTTTCAACTATCTTGCCCATGTAATTGTAACCCCTCTGTATGGTATTTTCACAATTAAAAAAATACACATTTCAAACATGACAGGAGACAAATGAATATTCCTGAGAGAAAAGCATAAAAGAAAATGCTGTTGGGCTTCTCCTTCCACAAACAGAGTTATATTAACTTATTTGATAATAGGTCATTCTTTTCAAGACATTTTTTTTGATAAATAGTTTAAGAGCATTTACTAGCTGTAGAACTTGATCAAGTTGTGTAAACTCTTCATTGTTTTTATCATTATTATTTTTACTAGATAATGAAGACACTATCGCATACATATCCCAGAGTATTCATTAGGGTTACAGGTGCTAAACTATGCAGCCAGTTCACAATGTTTGTCAAATATTAAGTGCTCAAACGTTAGCTCTTATCATTATTAGTATTAAAGTAAACCAGGTTGAGCGATTTAAAATCGAAGTCAAGGAAGAGGCATTCTGATTTGTATTTTACAAAGTACTTCCTTGTTTATCTGATTTACAGGGGCCCTTTCCCTACTGGACAGGTAACAGCCATCTCTAATCATCTCTTCCCTCCCTTTCTCCCTTCTCTCCTTCCCTCTCTCCCTTCTCTCCCTCCCTCCCTCCTTCCTTCCTTCCTCCCTCCCTTCCTTCCTTCCTTCCTTCCTTCCTTCCTTCCTTCCTCCTTTGTCTGAGCCTCCCATGTTGAGGGTAAGTAGAGTTTCCAGTTCTTCTTGAAAAGATTCAAAGAAGGGCAAGGAACTTAGTCAGGTAATATCCAAATATTTACTGTTTGATTTTTATCTTGATTAGAAAACAAAAGTGCTTTGTTCAAAGGCTTCTGATTGATATCTATCCTTTGCACTTTTGTACCTTTCCCTCATTGCCTTATGAAAAGGCATTCCCATAGAAAGAAGTGAACTTTCTATGAACTCTTAAGAATTCTCCAAAACAGGTGGTCAGGCTGGCAAGAGAAGCAGCATTATAATCTCATATTCCTGCTATCTAGGTAATTATTGTGTGTTTCTTCTGATGGTTTGTCTTTTTCCTTCCTCCTCCCTCTCCTCTATCTCTACTTTAGTCCTCTTCTTCCCTCCCCTCCTCTTTCCTTCTCATCACTTTTCTTCCTTCAATCCTTTCCTTCCTTTCCTTTCTTTTTATAAAGAGAAGATCTCAACTTGTTTACCAGCACAGGCTGCCCACAGATGTATGATCTTTAAGCCTCTGCCTCGTGAGTGCTGAGAGCACAGGCATGTACCACCATTTACCATGTGTGTCTGTCTTTTTGGGTATGCATCTGCTTATAATTGTGATAATTCAATAGTGTTTCTGCTTAATTAGGCTGTTGGTATCACTGGAATGTCAGTGTGTCTAGCTACAATAGAGTGCTTTTGATACTAGGTCACAGAAAATGATTAGCCTAGGAAATAAAGAGAATACTCACTCATGTATGTCATTGTATTGGTATATGCGATATGAGTTTAAGCCAACATTTTGAAGCACAGGTTTGGGTTTATTTGAGGTATCAAGTTTTACTTTTACCTAAAATGTTCAGACAAATGAGTCGTGTTTTCCACATCATTTTACTTTCTGATGGTAGTTTTAATCTTAGAACTTTGTGCCATTAATCAACCTCTCCTGGCTCTGTTTCTCTCTACCCTTACTAGCCTATGGTGGCCAGTATTGTGCTTTCTACTTCTATAAGATGATTTTTCATAGATTCCACATAGGAGGGAGATCATGTGGTATTTATCCATCTGTGGCTGACATTTCACTGAATAGATAGGAGGAAAATTGATTTTCTGTTACAGGAGGACTACATTAGGGTGACTGTAACAGAGCAACAATTATACATTTTATATTTTGAAATAGGTACAAGGGAAGATTTTGAATGCTTTATCACAAAGAAATGATAAATATTGGAGCCGATGGATATACTAATTCCCTGATGGGTCATTATACAATTGATTGAAACACTATAATGTGCCTCATAAATATGTACAATTATCATGTATCAATTAAAAATAAACACTTAAAATTCTTCATTCTAGTGGATAGAGAGCATTCTAGGTAACTGAAGTTGTTTATAGACTAAGATTCTATCACAGGTAAGCTAAAAAGTGAATAAACCCAAGAACGAATAAGGTCAGCCACTTGCGAATTCCCTTTCTGTTTTCAGAGATGTTTCTATTTGTCTTCAATCACCAGTTAATAACAATGATGTCTCAAACATCCCTGTGGCCAATGAAAGCCAAGCTCATCTTAATGGCTCCCTCCCATTTGCTATCCGATTCTACTGCATACTATTGTCTGTAATTTCCTTTTGCTAGTATGAATAAAAGAAAACCTTAACAGTACATTTTGTTAAAAGTTGGAACAATTAAAATGTGCTAACACAAAAGCAATGTCTCAAATAGGGACTGTTGTGGGGAAAATTATCCCTAATAATAGCAGCTTGCAAAAAAATGAGGACTATTTTTCAGGTTCAAGATAGTTTAAGGAAAAAACATGCAATGTACTGTGAGTGTTCATGAATATCTAGCAAAAGAAGAAGAGATGTGAAAGAAGTAGATGTCAGGTTCCACTAAACCAGGAAGTATATGTGGCCTGTATACATAGGGAAAGTAATTTAATATAGAGCAAAGACAGCCCTGAGTTCTTTGGATGAGTGGTTGCATCCTTTCAAGAATAGGTTGATCTGTATTAGTTTTTACATGAAAGTATGTTTGCTCCACTATAAGAACGAAACCAATAGTAAAAGAAAACAAATTAATATGAGATCATTAAAAGTGTAGTCAGCAGCTTCCTTGTGTAACAATCTGGCATATTATACTTCAACACCCTCACTGTACTTCACCAGAAGCAAATCCCATCTTCCTGTCCCTGAGTCCTTGAGAGGGAAGTGGAGCCTAGAGCTTATGCCCAGAGAGCTGCAGTTAGAAGAGGCCTAGTTTTCATGAAGAAGACGCATGGAGCCCAAAGAGAGGGTATAAATTACCTCTGTGCAGTTTTTCCTCACTGCTTTGGATAATCTCCCACAGGGGGCCTCTGTGGGAGGCCTCTGGCTAAAGCCAGATTCTCCTCAGATTCTAAGTGGAAAAACACAGGACAGACATCCTTCATGGCTCCAGCCTTCCCCTGTTGGGCGTGTTAGATTTTAGCAAAAAGTACAAATACTTCAAATACTTCAAAAGAAAAAGTATTTCCTGCGATGGGAAGGGATCATTGCCAGGGGATTGAAAACCCCCCAACAATGCCAAAACAAAAAATTACGAGTAAGCATTTAACATATGGTTTTCAACAGCTTTGTAAAAGAAAATCAAATTTGGCCACAAGGTTAGAATATGCTCCTATTAGGGTTCAAGATGGCTACACAAATGACAAAGGGAAATTGTTACTGAAGAAAAATACATCCCCCAAAATGTCACCAGCAAGTTCCAGAATCAACTCAGACGTCAGACAATCTGTCAGAGCAAAAATCACAGCATTCCCTCGTAGTTGATCTAATTTGGAGGTCACAGAGTGAAATAATACATTACTAGCCTTCTGGAGATAACATACTTGATGTGTGGGCTATGATCATAGTTGCTGAGGTTACTTCGCAGGAATTGAAAGCCTGCTTTTGCTAAAAACACGGATTCATTGTAGCTACTTGATGGATGACTAAAACAGAACAAAAAGCTTGGCATCTCTGTCTATACTGTGTCTGCTTCCTTTTTGCTTCAGCCTTTCCGTCTACTTACTTCTGCATGTAGACATTTTAGTAATTTGAGAAATGTTTCACTGAAGACTCTAACAGAGGGTTCACTTATATCCCAACCCTTGGCCTTTCTCATAGTTCAGTGATAAGGGTGAGCCTGGTTAAAATGAGAGAATTTTTCTTCTTGGAACCCAACTGTTTACTTCTATAGTTATACAGAGCTCAAGGCTATATTACTACCTAGGTTCCAATGTCATGGAAACGAGTGAAGCTAGTTAAGCTTCACTAGTTAAGCTCTTCTGTGTGTGTTGGTACCTAAAAAGTCTATTGATAACAACACAATTTAACAGCAAACATCTAAACACAAATTGGAGGGAAAAAGAGATGCTAAGTATATGTATATGATCAAAGATTTTTTTTAAACAATGAAATAAATTTGTTTTTGTGTTATAAAGATAAACATTCAATCAACATCATGGGGACGTGGCATGCATCTCTTCTTTCTTATTTTCTCATGGATCTTTTGGGAGAGTCATTTGGAGGTTATCTTGGAATTTCAAAAGCCATCCAACCTTGTGATTCACAAGAAGCTCTCTGGTTCTTTGGGGGTCACTTAGAGCCTTCTTAGTGAGAGTAAAGGTCGACTGGAATCAACGCAGCTGTCCCTCCCTGACGGTACTGTACTTGCCTGACCCCGGTGATGGCGATGGACAGGGAAGGTGGTGTGTGCACGTAGCTAGAGGTGAGAACAGACGCATGTAGGGAAACGATGCGCACTCTAGTCATGGGTGGTATCTGGTACCAGTAACTCAGTGTGAAGCCAGCAAGGGCCCAGTGTTTTGAGGATGGTTGCGCAGAGCTCGGGCCAGGCAGGCCCCGCGCTGCTCCCGCCCGGTCGGGCTCACTCACCGGTGCTGCTCTGGATGGTCCTCACCGTGGTGGTGGTACGCGGCGGGGAGGATGAGCGCAGGGACACGCATTCGTCGTCCTGGGAACAGCCCTTCTCGATGGCCCGCACGTAGCTGTGGCTGCGCATGCGGAAGCAGCCGGGCATGGGCAGATCCAGGGCTTCCACCGCCTGAGACTCCAGCTCGCTGAACACCGACTCGCACACGGACTCAAACTGCCCGTTCACCTCCATCTCGCTCACCTGAGGACCAACACGGCCAACGCCTCATGGTTAGTTGTTAGTTCCCAGAAGGAAAGGCAGCCTCCGATCCCATGAAACCCCAAGCCCGTTATATCCTTCATGTGCCCGATGAGAACGGGAATGGTATGGAGCTAAAGGCGCCATGAAACTTACTGGGGCTTGGACCCAGGGCTGGGGGCCCTGCCACTGAGCTTCTCACGCAAGCCTGAGGCTCTACCATTTGAACCACAGCTCCACTTCCAGCCTTTTGATGATTAATTGGAGATGAGTCTCATGGACTTTCCATCTTGAGATCTCAGCCTGAATTGGCCAGGATTACAGGTGGGAGCCACCAGCACCTGGCTACTAATTGCATCTTTCTTTTTTTTTAATCTGTCGTGGGGCCTGAACTCTGGGCCTGGACACTGTCCCTCAGCTCTTCAGCTCAAGGCTAGTGCTCTACCACTTGAGCCACAGCGCCACTTTTGGCTTTTTTTGCTTATGTGGTGCTGAGGAATTGAACCCAGGGCCTCATGCATGCAAGACAAGCACTCTACCACTGAGCCACCTTCCCAGCCCACTAATTACATCTTAAAGGAAGAGAGTTTTGTCTTCGAATGCAACGAAATAGAGAACAGGAAGCCCTATTGCAATGTGTGCTCCAGGATGAAAGATGAAAACTTTCTTTTATATCTCCTTTTATATCTCCTCTTCCTCCTCCCTCTTCTTCTTCCTCTTCTCCTTTTTCCTCTTCCCTCTCCTCTCTCCTCCTCTTCTTTTTCCTCTTCCCCTTCTCCTTCTTCTTACCTGTGACTGGAGTTGGAACCCAAGGCCTCATGCATATTAGGCAAATGCTCTATCCTTAAGATACAACCTAGGCTCTCTCTATTTTTAAACAGGAATTTTATCAATTCATGATCTGAGTAGCTCATATATTCAAGATAATTTGTTTTCAGCAGATAGTATCTTAAAACTAGTGGTTTTATGTGGTTAAAAATTTTTATTGTAAAGGTGATGTACAGAGGGTTTATAGTTATATGATACTTTTTTTTAAAAATGACTAGTTTGTTAGGTAGTGTCAATGTTGACGGATGCTCCATTGTGGAGTGGAAACATACTCTATTTTCTGGCAAGATACATTCTGCCCAAAAATAAACTAAAGGGCTGGGACTAAGCCTTAGTGGTAGAGTAGCTTGCTTTGCATGCATGAAGCTCTGGGTCCAATTCCTCAGTACCGGTAAACAGAAAAAAACCAGAAGTGGCGCTGTGGCTGAAGTGGTAGAGTGTTAGCCTTGAGCAAAAGAAGCTCAGGGACTCAGTACCCAGGCCGTGAGTTCAAGCCCCAAGACTGGCAAACAACAACAACAACAATAAAACAACAACAAAAACCAACCTCCCTCTGCCCCCTGCCAAACCCAAGCATGTCAAAATCTTAAAAAGCATTATCAAGATTTTTTTCAAAGCTATTTAGTTTTTTCTCTTCTTTATAAAAAGCTAATATGGACCACAAATTGAGTGAGTTTAGAAAAATCTGTGTAATGGAGCCCTATGTGTGTGTACATGAGCATGTGTGTGAATGTGATCAGTTTTCATTGATTTATTTTCTTCTGTATATAATTCACAATGGGTCACAGCATTCTGGATATACTCAAATTAGTATCTCTCTTTATATAGTTAAGTCCCTAAAGAGTTGGAAGAAATTTGAATTTTCTGTTATCTTCTGGGACTTTTTAATCTCTATTTTTCCTAATATTTAATTCATGAGTAATAGAGACTTTAATGGATTAAATTAGAATCAAATTTAGAATGTGTACCTAAAATTATGACTTTTTTTTACTGTCTCACCTTGTGTTATATAAAGATTATTCACTCCAGTAAACCTTCAAAAATTGACTAATTACTCTTTATATAAATGAAAAGAAACTTGCATTTTTAAAAATAGCCTTTACATTAAAGAATAGTATTTTACTTCCTTTATCTAATTTGATATAATCTGCACATTTTCAAAACAAATAACCATATGCATCTGTATTGATCTATACAGCTCTATTAATTAGCTGGATGCTGATGCCTCATGTCATAAACCTAGCTATTTAGGAGGCTGAGATCACAAGGATTGTGGCTCTAGGTTAACCCTGGCAGAAAAATCTGCTAAATTCTACCTCCAAATAAACCAGCAAAGGAATGGACTGGTAAGGCTCAAGTAGCACAGCACCAGCCTAGCAAAGCAAGGATATAGTTTAAGCCCCAACACACACACACACACACACACACACACACACACACACACGTACGTATGTTTATTAGGAATTATATGGACATACATTTAGACGTAAAGATACAAGGTATGGACAAGTCATGTCAAATGGAATGAAGGAAAAAAAATAGTGGAGGAAACCTTAACAAGGAATGTGAATCTGAGTTAAAGATTTCATCATAAGTTATTCTTTTTGTAAAGTAAATTATACAGTATAGGTACGCACACATCATTTATTCGCTTTTCTCCTTTTGATTGACATGCAAATATTGTGAGGAACTAGTAAAATGTTTATCCCTGTCTGGATTACTAATGTTAAACCTGAGGCTATGTATGACCTCCTTGATTTCATTTTTATAAACCTTAAATCTTAAGTGTAATTCTGAAAGTTGTTTGCTTTTCACTTACTAATCAAGGTTAAACATATTCTTAACAGGATTGTTCTTATACAGATATAGAAAAACAAATGAGACAAATCTATAACTTAACAAATCCCAGTAAGAAAAATGCCAGTGAAAACACCACCAGGATCAATAAGTAGAAAATTTTCAGGCACCCCTAGTAGCCATTTCCATGACCATCTTAATCACAACTCTCCAATAGTAAGTGCTATCTCTACAATTTATTCCAAACTCCACTGCATTTTTTCATAGTTTTTAAAAATCATCCAAATATGCATAAGATTAGTCTTATCCAGTCTGATATCCTTTAATGTATTTTTTTTTTTTTGTCGGTAGTGGGTCTTGAACTCTGGGCCTGGGCACTGTCCCTAAGCTCTTCAGCTCAAGACTAGTGCTCTACCACTTGAACCACAGCATCACTTCCAGTTTTCTGGTGGTTAATTGGATATAGTCTCACGGGCATTCCTGCCTGGGCTGGCTTTGAACTGTGATCCTCGGATCTTAGCCTCCTGAATAGCTAGGATTACAGGGGTAAGCCATCGGTACCTGTCCTTTAATGTACTTTCTTTCTCCCTTTCTTGCTCCCTCCTTCTCTCTTCTTCCCTTCCTCCACTTTTTCCTTCCTATATTTTTGAGATAGTGTCTTTTTGTTCAGGCTTTCCTCAAATTTTCACTCCTCTTACTGCAACCTCCTGCATGCTCAGATCATAAGTGTGTACCCTTAGGCCCCCAAACAAACATTTCTTCATATTGCATTTAAAATTTTGAGGAATCTGGATCACTTGGCCCCTAGAGCCTCCCACAGTTTATATTTTGTTGACTTCATACTAATGGTAAAACTTGATAAGTGCTTCTATTTTTCATGTTTCCTAAAAGCTTTAAGTTGTGTTTTTAACCTGACCTGACTCAGGTTCAATCCTTCTGGCATGACTAGAGGTCATGTGTGTTTTTCATCAAAGAGCACATTATGTCTCGCTTGTCTCTTTTTTATGTTCAAATCTGTTTGTTCATTGAGGGTAGAAAAATGGCAATATTTAATCTTACAACTTTTACAATTACTAGTGGGAATATTTTAATAAATGTTTTCTTTTTTACATTATCTGGTAGTTTAGTTCATACAGAAATGGAAGAATTAAAGGTTTATTTATATTCTTTTCAGTTAAATTTTTTGAGATAATAAATTTATTCTCTTTTATCTTCAGCTAATTTTTTCTTTTGCCAGTCCTAGGACTTGAACTTGGGCCTGGGTTCTGTCCCTGAGCTTTTTATTCTCAAGGCTAGTGCCCTACCACTTGAGCTACAGTGCCACTTCTGGCTTTTTCTGAGTAGTTTATTAGTGAGAAGAGTCTCCTGGCCTTTCCTGCCTGGGCTGCTGGCTTTGAACGGGTGATCCTTAGATCTCAGCCTCCTCAGTAGCTACAATTACAGGTATGAGCCACTGGCGCCAGCTTTTTCAACTAATTTTTTAAAGATACAAAAATAAATTTAAAATAGTTTTTGATCCTTGTTATGGTCTGGATAAGTGTCTCCAAAGACCCTCGTGTTAAAGGTTTGGTCACCAGTCGTGGTGCTACTAGAAGTTGGTAGACCCTTTAAGAGGCGTGGAGTAAGTGGAAGGAAGGGGTGAAAGGGGATACAATATTGGGTCTTCACTTCTTTCTCCTCAACCATGAGGTGAGCAGCTTCTTCTGCCACATGCAAACCACATGATATTTCTCCTCCCTCCAGGCTGTGGACTGGAACGGAAACTGTGAGCCAAAATAAGCCTTTCTTCCTTTAAGTTGTTTATCTCAGGTATTTGTTAAAGCAGTGGAAAACGGATGACCACGATGGTTTTAAATCCAGTTCAACTATTACTCTGAATGAACTCAAATTTGTCCTATCTTTGCCAGTGGAAGCCTCTTAAATTGGCTATTGAATCTTCTTGACATGAAATTAGTAGTCTTGAATAGTATTCTTGACACCATACACGTATTCACTCCCTCCTTTGTTTTGCTGTTCCCTCCAAACCTCTCTTCCAGACACATACGTTTTTTGAAATTTCATTTTTAATATCTTTTGTTGTTTTGTGTTACTGTTCAGGTTTTGAATCCATTTGCCCTTATTTTTACACAGAATGAGTGGGAATTTAATATTATATGTATTGTATAATAAAAAATTTGCTTAACCTTTCACAGCTACACTTTCCTAATCTGTACACTTTTCTGATCTATACAATAGTAGCTACCTCATAGACATGCTGTAAGAACAAAAACTAATAATGTAACAATGTATTTGTGACTTTAAGCATCACTATCCCACAATACTGTGAAATTTGTGAAATTATGTAATCACTTAATCACAATAAAGAATTTGCAAAAAAAGGGACAAAAAGCACAGAAAACAAAAACAGTGACAAAGGAGAAAAGAAAACAAAAACAAATGAATTAACAAAAAAACCCTGTTTGTTTCCATTTCTTGGAGTTCATTTAGATAAATATCATTTTATATGATCATATGCACAAAAATGTATATTTTATTCATAGACTGGTGGTAGCCAAAATTATACCAGAATGAGGCTCCAACTCTTTCCTGGGGTTGGATGATGGGTATCACTGGAAAACACTAAGATCGGTAGGTATGCATGGGTATGGAGACTCTTTTGTAAGAAATATATGACAGCTTGGAATACTTGTTAAAATGTGAGTTCCCAGACCCTATTCTTAGCAGCTCTTTTTTTACAGTCTTGGATCCACAGTGTTTTTTGGTATGTAAATTTTGGATCTTGTTGACAACCGTCATCACAGGGAAGTTCCACTTAACATCTGGCTACTTATACCTTACAAGTGTTGTAAGAGTTAGTAGTAAGAGCTGGTAGTAAAGCAGTTGGCCAAGTAACTGACCCAATGAGTTACTAATGCTGGATGTTACAGTTAATTCAGAGTGTTTTTGTGATGGTCATGTATTCAGTGCCCATATAGAATCTTTACGCTCAGTTGTGTGAACCAGTTCTATTTATTTACATATATATATATATATTTTTTTTTTTTGGGGGGGGTCCGGTCATGGGGCCTGAACTCTGGGCCTGGGCACTGTTCCTCATCTCTTCAGTTCAAGGCTAGCGCTCTACCACTTGAGCCACAGCGCCACTTCCGACTTTTTTCTTTTTGCTTATGTGGTGCTGAGGAATGGAACCCAGGGCCTCAGGCATGCAAGGCAAGCACTCTACCACTATGCCACCTTCCCAGCCCATATTTATTTACTTATTTTTAAGCATTATTTCCTTTCTTCTTTATTTTATAGGAACATATGTTTTTTTTTTTAAATACACAAAACATGGCCAGGAGACTAATTTCTGGATATATGAAGTTGAAATTGTTTTGGTTTACTAGTTAACATTTGTGGCCAGGTACAGTGGCTCATTTTTTCTCTTTTTAATTAAAAAGATTTTATTGTAAAGGTGATGCACGTAGGGGTTACAGTTTCACGTCTGATAATGAGTATGTTTTTTTGAACAGTTTTACCTTTTCTCTCATTTTCTCCCCTCCCGCCCCCTCCCTCAAATTGGAAAGTTCATTTCCAACATAGTGTCTAGTAAATATCACTGCTGAATTGGTTCTCCCTTTGTCCCACTGTTTCTGTGCTTCCCCTTCCCCTCCCCAAATTGGATAAACTTACATACAAGATAAAGTGTACAAAAACAGTGACAGAAGGAATACATCAAAGAAAAAAGAAAGACAAAGGAACTGCAAACAGTACAATAGTAATAATTTTAAAAACACTCTTGCAGGGCTGGGAAGGTGGCTCAGTGGTTGAGCTCTTGCCTTGCATGCCTGAGCCCCTGGGTTCGATTCCTCAGCACCACATAAGCAGAAAAAGCTGGAAGTGGTGCTGTGGCTCAAGTGGTAGAGCACTCATCTTGAGCTAAAGAGCTGAGGGACAGCACCCAGGCCTAGAGTTCAGGACTCACGACCAACAACAACAACAACAACAACAACACACACACACACACACACCTAAAAAAACAAAAACCCATCTTGCTTCAATTTTTTGGAGTTCATTTTGATAAGCATCATTTTATATGATCATATCCACATAGCTATTTATCCCTTGCGATCCTCTCCTAAGGATATCTGCTTTTACTCTTACTGTGTGAATGGTTAGATTGCTGTTTAATTAATCATTTCCAAGTGTAATTATTTGTCTTTTACTGTCCATTGGATTTACTTGTAGATTTAGAGGCACATTCTAATGATTACAAATGAGAGAAATCAAGCAGCCTATGTTTCTTTGGGCCTAGCTTACTTAGTATAATTTTATCCAAGTTTTTCCATTTCCTAACAAATGTAGCAATGCTGTTCTTTCTGATGGAAGCACAGAATTCCGTTATGTATATATACCACATTTTCTTGATCCACTCATCTGTTGAGGGGCATCTGGGCTGGTTCCATACCTTAGCTGTAGTAAATAATGCAGCAATAAACATAGTTGTGGTGGTGGTTCTAGTGTAGCCTGGTCTGTGGTCAATTAGATAGATGCCCAGGAATGGGATTGCTGGGACATAGGGAAGGTCTATGTTTAGGTCTTTTGAGGAGCCTCCATACTGCTTCCAAGGATGGTTGAACACATTTACATTCCTATCAATAGTATAGTAATATTTCCTTTTAACCACATCCCTGCCAGCATCAGTTATTGTTAATTTTCTTGATATTGGCATTATCACTGGGTGAGGTGGAATCTCAATGTTGTTTTGATTTGCATTTCTTTTTTGGCCAGTGATCTCAAACATTTCTTCATGTGTCTATTGGCCATTGTTATTTCTTCTTTGGAGAAATCTCTCTTTAAGTCTTCAGCTCATTGATTAATTGGGTTGGCTTTTTGAGGATTTTTTGGGGGGGTTTACCTATTTGAGTTCTAAGCATATTTTAGATATGAGGCCCTTGTCTGCATAGCTAGTAAAGATATTTTCCTATTCTTCGGGCTTTCTGCTTATCTTGCTAGCTATGTCCTTTGCCATGCAGAAACTCTTCAGTTTGATGTAATCCCTTTTATCTGGTCTTTGATTTGTTGTGATTCAGGATCTTTACTTAGAAAGTGTGAACCAGTTTTTAACAGTAAGATTCTACTTCTTTACCAATATGTACCATTCCTTAGGATCCATTTTACCCAAGTCCTGCTTTGTTAACTTGCCTAATACTCTATAACTTTTATGATTAGACACTGCCTTGCAACCTATATTGTGTATTTATCTTCTAAGCATCTTCATAACTGATCCCTCATCCATCAACTTCCTGACCAATTGGCTGGTTCCAATTGCTAATGACTTTCCAAGGATCCTCACGTTGTGCCTCCTCCATCTGCAGAGGGCACTTCCCCTGGTAGGAGCATGCTGTGGCTGAACACGTGGTACACCCCTTGCAGGACTGGATTGAGTCTAGTCCATCAGTGATTTACCTGGGGATTGGCAACCTACTCACTTTTCCAATCTCAGTTTTCACTAAGCCCCTGTATTTAATAACTCATGGCCACAGTTGATCTGGTGGTGATTACCTGGCTAATGGTGCTCATGGCTCGCATGTAGCTCTCATTCCTGGAGCGGAACTTTGGTGATGTGAGCAAGCCTGCAGGGTCAAGGCTGTCCAGACTTCGGTTGATGGAGACTTCACTTACTGCCCTCAGGTAACTGTGACTCCGGATCTGGAGTTTGGGTGAGTGTTCATTGGAGATCCTGGAAGAGAACAATGGAAAGTCATGTAGTCATATTCCAAAATGTAGGCAGTAATAAGATGTGGCACTATTGTCATTAATGAAGCACCTAAATACCAAGGCAGATAATAGAGATGTCCCAATAGTATTTCAGAAGAAATATATTTTTTTAGGTTTGCATTTTGTTTTCCTTCTTAAATTTTAATTAAAAAAATTTAAATTGACATAGTAACTGTACATTTTCTTGGGGTATAGTGTAATATTCCAATGCATATACACATGCCAAGGATGCATGATCCATCATCTCAGACCTCTCTTGTTTTTCAATTTGTCTTGATTAAAAAGAATATATTACCACTACTACTACTACTAGTACTACTACTAGTACTACTACTACAGGATCTTGCCTGTAATCATGTTTACTCAGGAGGCTGAGATCTGATGATCAAGGTTCAAAGTCAATCCAGGCAGATAAATCTGAAAGACTTATTGCCAATTTACCAGCAGAATGCTGAGTTGGAGGCGTGGCTAAAGTAGTGCCAGCTTTTAGTGAAAAAGCTAAGCAGGGGTGGGAGGCCTTGAATACGAGTCCCACTTACCTTCCCCCTATACATACACAAGGAAAAAAAGATAAAGGTATTCTATAAAACCCAGAGAGTTCACTTTGCTTCATTTAAAAATGAACTCAATTTGACTGTGGTCATGACTCTTATAAAAATCATGCTCCTAAACATTTATAGCTAAAACTAAAAGGCTTTGATTCTTGGGCTTCAATGTAGAAAATAGTACTTTGGTCAGGGACAGAACTCAGTTGTTAGTTTTAGTGATTCAATCACAATGTGTCATCTTCTAACTTTTTTTTTTACACTATCCTGTTGTACATACCTTTCTAAACATGTAACTTTTTTTTCTCCAAATATTTCTTTATTGAGGTTAAGTGATTACATAAATTTCAAAGTACAAAGTGGCACAGTTATCCTTAGCTAAAGTCACAAATACATTTTAACTTTCACAATGAAAATCATCATTATCTTAATCTACAAAGCTTATGAACTCTATGAACTAAGGAAAAGGAAAGAAGTAAAATTAGGAAAAAAAGAAAATGGCAGGAAACATAACATGTCTCTCTATAATAACCATAAATAACCATAAATTAATGGACTCAATTCACCATTCAAAATAAAAAGAACTGCAAAGTGCATCAGAAAACAAGATTCATCCATTTGTTGTCTCCAAGAGACCTGTCTCACAGCCAAAGATAAAAACAAACTCCAAGTGAAGGGATGGAGGAAGATCTACCATGCAAATGCTTCCAGCAAGAAGGCACGGGTCGCCATTTTGATATCTGACAGAATAGACTTCATTAAAATCTCATTAAAAGACAAAGAAGGTCATTACATATTAATACAGGGAACAATACATGAAGAGGACATCACAACCATCAATTTATATTCACCAAAAAAATGGAGCACCTAAATACATTAAACAAATACTCTCAGACCTACAAAATATGATAGACCCAAATACAACAGTAGTGGGAGACTTTAATACCCCATTCTCACCAAAGGACAGGTCAACCAACCAGAGGATAACCAAAGAAGACTTTGAACTCAGTGACACCATATCTCAAATGGACTTAACAGACATCTACAGAGTTTTCCACCCAACCACAACCTAGTACACATTCTTCTCAGCAGCCCATGGAATTTTCTCTGAGATGGAGTATATAGTTCACACAAGGAATTTAAGCAAATACAAGAAGATTGACATAATCCCTTGTGTTCTATCTGACCATAGTGGAATCAAACTAGTTCTCAACAATAAAGCATAGTGCAGAAATTACTCAAATATGTGGAAGTTGAACAGCATGCTACTGAATAATACCTGGATCACAGAACAAATTAAGAAATTAATAAATTACTACAACTGAATGAAAATGAAAATACATCACAATGGAACCTCTGGAACACAGCAAAAACAGTCCTGAGGGGCAAGCAAGTTCATTGCTCTGAGTGTACACATCAAGAAAACAGAAACAGCTCAAGTAAATAATCTCATGATGCAACTAAAACTGCTAGAAAAGCAAGAAAAAATTGAACCTAAAGTTAGTAGACAGAGGGAGATAACCAAAATAAGGGCTGAAATTAATGAGAGAGATTTAAAAAAGTATAAATAAAATTAGTAAAATGAAAAGCTGTTTTTTTTGAAAAAAAAACTGATAAAGTTGACAGCCCTCTTGCAAGATTAAAAAAAAAAGAAGAGAGTAGGTGTTACAATTGTTTATCTTCTCTTATTTTTCTATTTTCTTTCCTTGGACAACTCATCTACTCAATGGCTTCTACCATTAAGTTTTCATTAACTCCTCCCACATTTTTTCTATTCCATAGTTCTTCTTAAAACTCAACATTAAACTTTCACCTCACTGCTGGCTATTTCTACCAGATGCTTCTCATTATGACTCCTACATGACTACATGCAAATTCTCCACCAAACAGCTTTAAAAACAAATTCCACATGGGATGAGTGGAACCAAAATCTGCCGAGGTGATAAAATCAGAAATGCAGGATGTTCCGAATCCAGTGATAATTTCACTTTTTCATTCTTGCTTCCTATACACATGTAAAGCTGGATTTATCCTTCCTGAATACTTCTTTATTACTTGTTTAGTTCAGGTTTCATTTTGATTCTCCTAAAGAGGCCCCCTGCTCTCAGTCCTGCTAGTTATTTTCACACTCTCCTTACACTGCTTCCATGACTTCTCTTTTTTTTTTTTTTTGTCAGTCGTGGGCCTGAGCTCTGGGCCTGGGCACTGTCCCTCAGCTCAACCACTTGAGCTACAGCACCACCACTTCTGGCTTTTTCTGCTTATGTGGTACCGAGGAATTGAACCCAGGGCCTAATGCATGCAAGGCAAATACTCTACCACTGAGCCACCTTCCCAGCCCCCATGACTCCTCTTTTGAGGGGGATGTATATATGTATGTGTATGTGTGTATGGGTGTCCATGCAGGTGTGTCTGAGTGCACTAATACTAAGCAGATTTGAAGTGGCAGAAGAATCACTAAGTCTTAAGAAAGGCCAAGAGAGCTCATGTAATATGAAGAACAGAAAGGAAAAAGAATGAAGAATTCCAAACAAATCCTCATAAACTAGTGGAAGGCCATTAGATACATAGCTTACATGCAATGATAGGTACAAATGGAGAAGATAAAGAAACAACATTGAGCAGAAATATTTTAAAGTAAATAATGGTCAAAATCTCACCAAAATTGGTGTAAACTTTACGTATTTAACATGGTTAGCAACTGTAAGTTTGATAAGATAATATTGAACCATACCCAAGTAAAAACATTTTAGAAGTCCAAAGTGAAATCATGGAATTAGAAAAATGACTCATCATACAACAAAAACTTGATAAGATTCACAGCTGCCTCTCACTGTACACCATAAAAGCCAGAAGGCCCTGTGAAGAAATATTCCCAGTGCTGAAGGAAAAAGGTGGTGAACTAGTGATTGATAACAGCAAAACCATTTTTTAAAAAGGAGAAATTAAATCATTTGCAGATGAAAGACTGGGAGGTCTTCTCTGAATAAATGCTATAGTAAATCCTTTAGAATAAAAAATAAACAACACCAGAGAGCAACCTGCATATGTGAAAGAAAAGCTAGAACACTGGCAAAGATAATTACATAGGTAAATGTTTAAAGAAAGTGCAAAGATATTTTTTGAAATCGTACTTAAACAATGAACGAATTAATTTAATAACTGTGATGATATGTACAAGTATAAAGATGCAACTGTGTAATAAGAACAGAAATGACAGGGAAGAAAAGGATTATTCTAATGAAATTTTGACATATTATTGAAATAATGTTGATATTAATCTAACTTGATTAAGCTAAGGTTTCATGTTGTACACATGAGTGGGTAAAGAAAATGCAGTATGTATACATACATACAAACATACTCAAAGGAGTTTTATTCAGTCTTAAAGAGGATGAATTGACATCATTCACAAGAAAAAGGATGGAACTTGAAATAATCATATTAAGAAATAAGTTAGACTCAGAAAGATAAATATTGCATGTTTTATATGGTAATCTTGAGTTTTAAACATTTTTTTGAAATTTATGTATTACTACCAGCATGTGTATGTGCACGTGCTCACACACACACACACACACACACACACACACACAATTTATTTATTTATTTACTGAAGAATAGCTATTGTAGTAGAGGGGAAACTACTTGTGAAAAGGAAGAGAACCAGTGAGGGGAGGAGGAATTAGAGAGGATAATGAAGGTTAATGTGATTTGATCAAAGTACATTAAATACATATATGAAGTCATGATGAAAACCATTAAAAGTATAACATGGATTTATGTTATAATCTCTAGAGCAGCTATGATGGAAAATAATTTAAAAACCACAGTTGTTATAAAGGTATTTAAGTGGCACATTGAAAAATATAACACTACAAAAGTGATAATGAGGGAACAGAGGGACAAAAGACACACAAGACATGTAGAATATTAAGCTAAGTTTGGTGCTATATGCCTGAAATGCCAGCATTTTGGATGCCAGGGTAGGAGGATTTGAAATTTGAGGCCATCAGAAAGAATGACATTGCCCCATTTGTTAGGAAATGGAAAAACTTGGAAAAAATTATATTAAGTGAAGTAAGCCAGGTCCAAAGAAACATAGGTTCCATGGTTTCCCTTATTTGCAATATCTAG